TATTTCTTTTTTTTAAATATGTATTTTTATTGATTTCAGAGAGGAAGGGAGAGGGAGAGAGAGATAGGAACATCAATGATGAGAGAGAATCATTGGCTGCCTCCTTCACGCCCCACACTGGGGATTGAGCCCGCAATCCAAGCATGTCCCCTTGACTGGAATCGAACCCGAGACCCTTCAATCTGCAGGTCAATGCTCCATCCACTGAGCCAAACCAGCTATAAATAAATAAATAAATAAATAAATAATGGAGGAATCTAGCAAATATATCAATAGCAACAAATTGGAGAACACAATACCAAATTTCATTGATATAGTTTAAAACATGAAAAAAATATTGATTTGCACCACCTATGGTAACTCTATAGAGAAAAACAAGGAATTGTAAAATACAAAGATTCAGACATAGTTACTTCTTGGGGGTGAGAAGGGCAATAAGGGCAGAATACCCAAGGGGCTTCAAAAGAATTGCTAATATTCCATTTCTTAAGCTAGGTATATAGGAATCTATTTTATTATTATTCTCTATACCATATATTGATAATATATACTTAAAACACATTTTCCAAGCTTAAAACATTGTGATTTTAAAAATAAATAAACCATAGTTTTATTATTTAAATCAATACCCTGTGTCTGAAGACAAAAGCAGAATGGTTGTTTTTTTTTTCTTCTCCTTTTTATACATATTTTCTATTGATTTTTAGAGAGGGAAAGAAACATTGATGTAAGACTGAAACATGGATTGACTGTCTCCTTCCCACCCCCTACCAGGGATCAAGCCCACAACCCAGGCATGTTCCCTGACCAGCAATTAAACCAGCAACCTTTTGGTGCACGGGACAATGCCAAACCGAGCCACACTGGCCAGGGCAAAAGCAAAAATGTTCGCGACAAAATTTTCCAAAGGGATCTTCTATGTTAAATGACTAGTTATCTTTTATAAAAGTCTATAGGATTATAAAATAGCAGGAAAAAATCTAGAGCAGGTGAAACTTGATATTTAACACTAGAAAGACCGAAATTTAGTATATACCTATATTGCCCAAAAGCAGTCAAAATGACTTCATTGTGAAAGAATAATATCGGAGCACTCTTCACGTATGTTCCTTAGCTTTTCCAATAACTCACTTCTATTCGACATTTCTTTCATGAATTTAGGGAGCAAAAGAAATAAAATAAACAACTTATTAGAACAAGTATCACTGCATAAAGATTCGAATAACAAGTACTAGTTTAGCTTATTCAGCAACTGCAAC